AGATTTTTGCCAAAATCACGGCTCCTTAGAAAGGAAAATCAAAATAAATTTGCGTAATAGCTAGTTGTGTAAAAATTACCACAGTTGACTAGCAACCATTTGGTGATTTGTGTAGTGGAAAGAATGCGAAGCTAGGGAATTTGGGTACTGAAAAGTATTTGCTTAAATGTAAAGTGTTATTTCATTTATCTGAAAGCTTCAAAAAGAATATATTTAAGTAAAGAGAAAATGATCATTTGTGAATGATGGGTATTCAAACGTTTATTACGTTAGCGTCTCTTAGCATACGAAAAATTGTATAGTTTTTGTTTAAACTTTTCAAATTTTGCTAGGACCTCGAAACGACTACTGAAGCCGCGCGACTAAGAAGGGGCTTTTCGAAAAAAAAAAATCGGCTCCTCTTGGTTTCCTGGAAAAGCCAGGAGGGGGCGCACCGAAAGCAGCCTTGAAACATTAGAACACCTGATGGACGTCTACTTTCCTGGTGCGGTAACGCAGGGGGCTCAGTCCCATAGACAAGGCATTCCAGTTGACGAAATCATCACTGCGGATAAAGTNTAGTGTTATTTCATTTACCTGAAAGCTTCAAAAAGAATATATTTAAGTAAAGAGAAAATGATTATTTGTGAATGATGGGTATTCAAACGTTTATTACGTTAGCGTCTCTTAGCATACGAGAAATTGTATAGTTTTTGGTTAAACTTTTCAAATTTTGCTAGGACCTCGACTAAGAAGGTGCTTTTCGAAAAAAGACCCTGCTCCTCTTGCTTTCCTGGAAAAGCCAGGAGGGGGCGCACCCAAAGCAGCCTTGAAACATTAGAACACCTGATGGACGTCTACTTTCCTGGTGCGGTAACGCAGGGGGCTCATTCCCATAGACAAGGCATTCCAGTTGACGAAATCATCACTGCGGATAAAGTAGCTTGAGCTATCAGATCCTTCCAACCCTACAAATCTCCATGTTAGACCTACCCATGGCACGCTGGTATGGTTGCAGGGGGTTGACACCAAATTCCATCTACTCAACCTGCAAAAAGTGTAACGACAAGCATGCCTATGCACAACGGGAGTGATCTACTCCACGCCTTAGGCGGCGCTAGAGACCTTCCTGTACATTCCATCCAAAGACGTATAGGTCAAAGGTACCGCAGCTAAAGGCGCTCTACGACCCAGTGCATCTAACAGGCTGCGAAGAACTTGCAACGGTCACGCCACAATTCTCAAGAGAGTGGGGGTAGAGTATAGCAGCTCTGACTATCAGGTTACGGAAACTGACTTCAACCGAAATTTCCATTTTCCCGACAGAAGTGACTGGGAATTGAGTATTGCTCTCAGCGATGACGAAATACCCATTTTCACAGACGGCTCCAAAAGAGATATCCCTGTTCCGATCTGGCGTCTTCCCTCAGGAGTTAAACTCCCAGACCACAGCAGTGTTTTCTAGGCTGGGATATATGCAATCGACATGGCGACAAGGTAAATGAGCATGATCGAACTAGCTCCATCCAAGTTTGCCTTCGTTGTTGACAGTCAGGCGGCTATCGATATGCGTTAAAGAATGCCGAAATACTGGAAGTGGACCAATATGCTTGAAAGGCATCTGAGATGGGGCTCGTGGAAGCGATCTAGAAAGTGAAATCTCCCCTGCGATTTCTGTCTTCAGAGGTCGAGAGAGTGACCAGGGCAGCGACCAACAGTAGGTGGTAAAATTTGCACACCTGCGTGGTATCACGCTCGCTCTGGCCACGGCTCGTCGAACGAAGAACAAGGAGTTTATTAAGACTCTCAAAGCCAAGCGTTAGGCTTCCCACAGGAATACTAAAGGCGACACTGGACCATTGGCCATTGTATATCGGAAAAACATATAAACAATTCCGGAAAGTGACTTCGCTCGAAACTTCCCTCTTGCGCCTAAATGAATGTTTACTTTTGCTGTAGATCGAAACCGGTCGCTGACTAATCTTATCTGGTTTAAAACGGAGGAGAATATTGAAACAAATAACTTGGTTGAGTTCTTTCCATCAATAGCCCATCGCAATAGGACCAGCACTGCGTATACGTAACAATACATAAGTAATATTTTGCTACACAAACACGAGTTTATTCCTGAAGTCACATTCCATGTAAACAATTGTATATTTATTCTTTAAAATACTGAATACAGTTATTATTTTGTGTAATTAACTTTTCGCAATCAATGCGTGCAAATGGTCTTGACCGAGTACGCATACCTATGTATGTATGTATATCATCATAAGCTTCATAAGCGGTCATAAAGTAGCATGAATGTTTGCATTAATATCACATGTAATAATAAGTAAACAAAACTGCCATTGCAAAAGTTCCATTTAAATGAATTTGTGCGTCCATTCGTATGCGCAGCACTCAAATAAATGACATTTTTGCGGTTGAAAAGGCAAAATAATTGACCTTAACTAGTTGGTAATGGATTAAATGTTGTAAATTATGAAAATGACCAAGTGTGGTGAAATTCAACATAAAATGGCAATAATGAGCTGACCAAAATTGGGCTGCATATGAAAGCAAGCATCAGCGTTAAATAAACAAATGTAAGCTGCATATACATACATAAATATTATTACCGGCCGCACATTAATTTTGTATGAGGAACAAATATAATGCAAAGAATTTGAGAAATTACTCTGAAAATTACTAATGAATTTAAATTAATTTGCAATGCTGCGTTTCGTTTTGTTAATAAATATTTGATAGATAGATTTGAAGAACGTAATTTATTTCACACACATGAGTGCCTTCATTCAATTTATTTGGCTTAGAAAAGTTCAAATTAATATATATGTATATGTACATACATATATATGCAACAAATCTGTGAGTGCCCGCTTTCAATCTCACCATTTCGATGGCTGGGGCGTATACGCAATCATTTCACGTAGAGATGGAGTTTAATTTATGAAAGCGGTAGTCTTTTACCGACAACTACAGAAACAATAGAAACATTCCTCAAATATTATTATTGTGTTTTATAGAAAACAGAAAATAGGAGACAATATGTACCTAATGAAAAGCAATCAATTTTCATATGTCGCACACTTTATATTTCGTAAAACTAAAAGACTTAGCCTCTAGATGTGCAAAAATGTAATATTTTAATATAGTAGGGTTGCCACCTGTTAAGAGATTAAAAGATTTTCGCCGTTCGTTGGATTAAAAATGAGGCTCCAAGGCATGGCCTTCGCATGTACAAAAACGTTTATTTTTTGAGTAGGGTTGCCAACTATTTAAAAATTACTATTTTGCCCTTAATAGTATAAAGCAAAGTCAAGATTTGTTGACCACGCTCATCTCTGAACGGACCTAGATGCGATTTCGTTTATCATAATCTGTATCGGTACTGGTGTTATTTTAAGTACTTAGAATTTCTATACGTTTGCCACCTGCCTAAAAAATTATACGATCCGTTCTGTGCATTACAAAAAGTGAAATGTGAAATGAAAGGGATTGGCCTCTAGACTGTTAATAATATATTATTTTTGAGTGGGGTTTCCACCTTTTTAAAAAATTATAAGATCTTCACTGTTCAAGTGAAATGATATGGTCTCTCGATGTGCAATAAGATTTTATTCTTTTAATGGGGTTGCCATCTTTTGAAAAATTAGTACCTTATATGAAGGGGTTAGAATCATAAGGGGCTAAGTGACATTTTTTGAAAATATAAGTTATACCCATATTTGTATAGTTAAATATAGTGTTTATGTGGTGACAAAAAGTAAACACTTTTTGAATTAGTTAATTGACCTGCATTCATTTAGACAAGAATCATTTGAAATGCATTTACCCAGAATTTACAATAAGTTATCAAATTTAACCTTAATTATCTCAAAAAAATTTCAGATCTACTTAGATCCTTTTGATTCTAACCCCTTCGTATATAATACGCGAAGTCATTTCTTGTTAATGACATCAGATTTGCACGGTTAATTCAGTTATAAAAAAACGGGGGGTCCAATGAAAGAGCCTGGCCTTCCGATGTGCAATAAGGTTTTATTTTTTTTTTTTTTTAAGAAAAATCAGTGTTTCATTCAAAGACCCAGATTTTGAGAGTAAATAATTTCCGAATTCTGATTATACTGATTTTCCTAATTTATCCGAACTACTCGCAAATACCGTGGAAATTTGAAAAAGTATATTAAAGTCATTTTCTTTTGTCACAGTGTGTTATTGGTTGGTATTTCTTTTCTTAAAATTTAAGAATGACTTTCAGGGACCGAGAATACCGGTTAGTTTTTTGAAGGTCGAAATAAAAGCCCTTTCCTAATAATAAAAAAAACCGCGTATCCTAATTAAAAAATTTGGTATCACATGAAAGAAGACTAACTTTAAAACTGAGCGACCTATTGAAAAATATTTCAATAAAAAAATGTTTTTTTAATTGCCATAGAACAAACTTTGGGTCTTTTGTATTCAATTCCAAAAACATTATAAATAGAGGTGGCAAACTTCTTCCGTCTTCTAAAAGCTATAATAGTACTAATAGTACTCTTTCATTTGACACCAAATTTCGAACTTAAAATCTATTTGGCCAAGTTGAACTTTTAAAAAAAATAACTGTTATTTTCGGTCCCTCATGACTTTCATTAATAATTGGTTAGATTTGCTTAAGATAACAACGAAAACATAATATCATTAGAATAAATGTTCACCTAGACTCTGAAGTCAAATCAAAATAAATCACAAATGCATAATTAAAAGCACATTCATTTACACTTGCATTCATATATATTCATTTATATAATTACAGTATCCACTTTCACTAACTCACTTATTTATTTATTTATTCATTTTGTGGCTTGTACTGCAATCACCTTTAACATTTTAAGCACTTACCGGGTCACCACAAAAATAAATAAATAAAAAAAAATAAATCAGAAAACAAAAACCTAAAATAAATATGTATGTATATGTACGTACATCCATTACACACTCCATAGTAGTTGAATGTTACATTTCCTACTCACCGATATGAAGACCTCTTCGGCTTGCTGCAATATGGCCACACGTGACCAACCGAATTTTTTCATTAATTTTATACGTGTCGGATTGTGTACCGTAGCGGAGGGATGTGTACGAAATAGCGTTGGAAAGCGACTGCGATCCGAGAGCGCCGGACTGGAGGCACCGTAGCAGAGCTGAAATGGAGAAAAACCAAAAATAAAAACAAATGCAAAAGTGAATAAGTGAAATGGCAAGTTGGATAATAAGTTCGAGCATGTGCTGTAAAAAGTAGTATAAAATGTTGAAAAAGTAAATTTTTTTTAATTGTTTTTTTTTTTTTTTACAAAAGCAAAAATTAATGAAATCTACACGAAATTCCTCTGCATATGTGGTGATAATGTGCATTAGCGTGGTTTTGCTGCATCTGTGGTTGCTGTTGCTTTCCACTTTCGGATTCCTTTGCTCTTCCTGTTGGCCTTTGTGGCTGCACTCTGCACTTGTAGTTTGTTTGCCATTTGCCAGCAGCTCGTCGTGTATTTTGTGGCCAAAGTGCTGCTATAAGATTTTCGAGCAATTAATTTCGTTAGATGGCAGTGGCAATGGCGAGCCGAGCAGGTGCATGCCACGTAGAAAAATTGTATGGCTACATTTTGAATGTTTGTATTATGGAGTACGTATATATGTATACATACATATGTATGAAGTTTAATGTGTTTAAATACTTAGTTGATGAATGCTTTATGAAAAAGTCGGAAAGATAGTTAGCCTGTTAGTCTGAAGTATTTTATAAAAGTATCTTAGTAGGAGTGGCTGTATTTTTGCCTGGCTTAAAAGTCGTTCGTAAAAGCAAATTCTTTAGTAGTCTTTAGCGAACTAGACTGCAAATAGTTAATTTGAGTTGAGTTTAAAAATTACTGAAAAAAAATCTACACAAATTCATTAACGGATACATCAACTCCAAAAATGTGTCCGTGGCATTTCCGCTCAAAAAATATGTATTTGCTGCGGTCGTGCAGGGTTACATCACTCATAAAAAGTAAGTACGTGCTACCTGTCTAACACAGGTCACTGCTGCTGGCACTTAGCGCAGTACATCAAATGGAAAAAACAAAAAGCATAAATGGAGAAAAAGAGTATGCCAAAAAATTAAATTAAATTGTGATTTCCAAAAATGTATAAAAATGCCATTACAGCTGCGCTGCAATTAAATACGGTTTTGCCATATTGCGCGCATTCATTAAACATATTCTATTTGTATTCCATTGTTTGTGTTGGTTGCACTTGCGGGCTAATTAAGGCTAATTGGGAAGTGCATGTTTGAGTAGTGTAGCGCACAGGGACAGTGTTGTGATTTGCAAAGGCCATTGCTTCGAGCGGCGAAAGCTGGCACATAAAGTTGTGGGTAGTGCTAATGCGATGAAGGAACTAAGCATTTAGGTGCATACATGTGTATTAAGAGGGAGATAAACTTGAAAGGCGTTTTGATGGAAACTTGAAAGTGTGAAAATGGCATAGCGTAGCTGGAGGAATGAGGGAGCGAATTTTTACATGGATAGATCGAAAGAAGTTTGACGGAACGTTTGGTTGAGGACCTTTTCTGTTCAAATTCATGCTCCCGACCGCTGTGTTGCCTGCCCGTTAGAGGAAAATAGCTGCTATTAACTGATTAAAAGGTCAGCTGTGTGACGTTAATAAGGGACGTAAATGTCTGCTCTGATAACCACACCCCTCCGATCGGAGCCTTAAACTCACTTGTGTACTCATAACTGGTCGAATAATTCATTAATCCTTTTACAATTTTATAATGACTGTCTCGAATGAAAGGATCTCAACGAACAAGAGAGGGATGATAGATTACTTGATCCACAGTTCTTAGAAAGATTGGAAATTTCTCCCTCAACAGTCTGGAAGCTCTTTTTCTCCAATAAATAATAACGGAAAACTTTTGACTCAACCTTAAAGATCAGAATATGCTGCGGTTGCTAGATAAGATTAATCGGGCCTATATATGTATATGATGAAGAATCCATATTTCCTTAGAATGCCCTGAACGGCGAATGGAGTCTATGTGAAGCTTCTTCTAGTCCGAGATACATCCGGAGGTTTGCCTTTGCTTGTTGAGGAGTGACCGCTGTTACTAAAAACCAGGGATCGAACCGAGATTCTATGGAGTTATGATCGCACCACTTTGCTGCAGCGGCCATCTTTACACTTATTAGACCTTAAATAACGTCGAAATTTCAATTCATTCATCTAGCCAAGGCTTAAGGTCTCGGAACCGTTAGGTGTAAGGTGCTCATGGGCAACTGTGATTGGACTCGTTCCTTCCATTACTCTTCCGTCTCCTAAAAAATTTATTAAGCGAGACCAACTTCTTCTTTCTTCTTATTTGGCGTTGAACCGCTTAAGCGATTTTAGCCGAGTTCAACAAAGCACGACAGTCGTTTCTCCTTTGGGCCAACTGACACCAGTTAGAATTGCCCAGTAAAGCGAAGTCTTTCTCTACTTGATATTGCCCTCGCAGTGGGGGCCTCCTTCTTTGTCTTTTGCCTTTGCAGAGGTGGAGAGTCGGTGTCCATTCGAACGGCAGGGCTAAGCCAGCGCAGTCGCCGGACTATGTCCATGTCTTGTAAAACGCATACTGCTCGTCGTTCCACCATCTGCGGTATTCGCCGTCGCCAACGCGAAGAGGGCCGTAATTCTTCCGCAAAATCTTTCTATCGAATACTCCAATAGCCGCCTGATCGGATGTTGTCATTGTCCAGGCTTCTGCGTCTTATACCAGAATGGTTTTCGTATATCCTGAATTGCCTGCTCAGTCCAAAGTAGTACTTGCTGGTTGTAGCGATTCTGCGTTTGATTTCGTGCTGATATTATTTTGGGTGGTAATACTGGTTCCCCAGTAAAATAAATTCTCCTAAATCGTCCTACGAGGAGATTCTGATGTGGTCTGCAGAAGTCGTGAAAGGAGTCTAGGCTCGATGTGACCACAGCTTGAGCACATCTGTGAAGTGTTGTAAAGAAAAGAGAGCACAATAGATCGCCAGGTCGCATCATATTAATATTCATCTATCTATCTACGATTCTCTTTTTTAGAATTTTTTCCATTTCTGTGTTCCCCGGCAAGCAATTTTTTATTAAAAATCTAAGCATTCTTCTTCTTAGGAAGACGTCATGGATTTTATCCGTCGTTGAATATCTACACATATTCTGGCACAATAAAATCAGCAGATTCCGCAACATTACATCAAAACCAAATCTAAACATCCAAGCAGGAATTGACCCGAGGTGGCGAAGCAGAAAGCACATATCGTCCCATGTATTAACTGTATCCACAACTGTCAAGGCATCCGACGAAAAGCGCAACGAAACAATCAGATAGCAAAATAAGTTAAGAAAGCAGCAAATAAAGGAAATCACACACAGAAACATATGGACACACATGCCAGTGCAATGTCCACTGAGCAATCGAATGCTTTCTTATCTACTGCACACTTACATCTAATAAATAGTTCTTATTCTTTGTATCCATGCAATGACAGTGCAATTGGTTCATATCCTTTGTCCGCTGGCCGTCTGTGTAGTCAGCCGTAGCGCAGTAGAGTGAAAGCTACGGTGTTGCAGACAGTTGTGTGTCAGCAAAAATGTTTGCAACGCATCATCAACATTTGTCGACAACAATAAGCTTTTGCACTAACAAGTGCATATGTACACATATCGCTAGCTTAGAGTAAAAACTTGCTAAGTCTATATTTACAAATTTTACAGGAGAGGCAAATAACTTCTTATAGCCATTTTCTTCAAGTAACATTCAAAACTTTAAAGACAGCACTTTAGGAGTTTATTAAACTTTAAAGCAAAGCAAAACTCCATACGAAGGATAGTGATCGGATGCTAATTAAAAGATTTCGTATAAATTTGGTTTTATCAAATTTCCTGTGCCTCTTTTGGTCTAGGAAAATTAGCTTTTCGTTGAATATACAGTGCCGGACAAAATTATTGGCACAGAAAATGTTTCGCAATATCTGCAAAGTTTTTTATTCTTATTTATTTTCGATAATTTTCGTCCAACACCAAAAAAACATAAAAACTAAATATTTAAACTTTGTGCAAAACTCAAGAAAATTCAATAAATTTGCATACTAATTTGGACTTTCTATTCAGATTTTTACAAAAATTCTATGTATGCAGTTTTATACCCCATCTAATTTTAGTATAACAAAGTGCAAGCCAAACTTTGCATATATTGCGAAAAATTCTCTGTGCCAATACTTTTGTCCGGCACTGTATTTCGAAATATGAGTTTTTATAAAAAGTCGACCCAGCAACTTTTCGCTCTAAGCTAGCGATGTGTACAAGCATACGTAGTTGCCCAATTGAATTATAAAAATAATAATAATAAAACCACAAATGTGCACAAATACTCGCAGTACGAAACAAATTGTTAGTAGCAAACGCATGAATTGAAAAGTTTTCGAAAAAAGCCAGGTACAAATGATTGTTTTTTGTATATGTATGTATATGGATGTGTCGTTGATCTGGAAAAAACTGCATAAGAGTTTATAGTAGCCCTGCAGGAACTAGCTAAACAAATACATACCGCAAGTGTTTGCACTAGACAGAAAGTTTGAGGAATTAAGTATCCAAATTTGATAAACTTAAATATACGATAACTTTGTATCCTTACCTTTAAGTAAAGATTTATTTGTAAAAATTTAGCAATATATATATTTTAGTGTTTCAAGCTTAGTCCTAGCCTAAAATTTAAAAAGCTAAGGCCAATCGTATATTTCCGTTTGGAAGTTGAGCTTTTTCCAATTTAGTACCTCCTTTGATTTCTACCTGATTCTATCTACATACATACATGTATGAGATGTTTACACTCGAGGATCGACAAAATAATAATAATAATATATTTTAACGCTTACACTTATGCTAAATGTTTGGCCGAGCTTCTCCTCCAATTCGTGGTGTGCGTTATACAAATGGAGGGACCTACAGTTTTACGCCGCCCCCGAACGGCAAATCGATTATATGACCTTTTTTTTGTGGCAGAAATATGCTCGGAGGTTTAACATTGCCTGCCGAGGGGCGACTGTTCTTAGTGAAATCTTTTTTTATTTAGATGATGCATGGACCAGGGATCGAACACAGGTCCTGAGTAAATTAGTTCAAAAATAACGATGAATCTTCAATGCGCAAGAGCGCATAAAATCAGTTTTCGTAAATTTCCTATAGGGATTCTTGTTTGCTTGCTCTTTCATGCGCATTGCCCATCGAGTTTTTTGTTAGCTCAACAAATTAGAAACAGCCGCTGCGAATTTTATTTTGCAATTTACAAAGTTGTTCCTTTACGCAATTACCAAATGTCGCTCATTCGTTTGATGTTTGCTGTTTTCCGTATTTTCATGGCATTTTTGAAGATGATTGCTGGCGATTTTACCTTCATTTTAATTTGCATAGAATGGTAAAAGTTCAACGACTTTACATATTTGAAATTGGTATTTTAACGATAGTTGCTGCTAAAAATATCCAATATAACTTTGAAAATTTAATTTTTTTGATAATAAGTAATTGATGGTTATTTTCGTGATAGCTTGGTTAAAAGAAAATTTGAAAGAGGTGCAAATTTAGGTAGCTTAAATTAAAAAAAAAAAAAACACGGTGAATAGCTCGGTATTCTCATATAAAAATTTAAGAGTATCGTTAATTTCATCATGATCCAATAATCGGATTAATCCAAAGTTATTGGAAAACATGCATAAAAAAATATTCCGACGAATTGATAACCACCTCTTTTTTTTGAAACCGGCTAAAAATACCAACTCTTTTCTAATTTTTATTTTTTTTATTTTAAATATTAATTTTTTATTTTTTTTTTTAATTTTTATCAAAGCCTGTTCTTTTGCCAAAAAGAAAAACAAGCTATGAACGATGAAAATCGATGGATAAATAAAAAAGTTTTGAAAGGTCAAATGAAATGTGCTTTATTTTTGTGTATGAAATAGTACATGGACACATTTACAAATTTTTTAAACTTTCCTTTCATTAAAAAAAAATTCCGCTATTCATTTCGATGCTTGCGTATATGTATTTTTTGATCTACTCCGTACTTTTTCAATTGATTTACCAATTAATTTTTTCAATTTATTGCTTATAATCTTATTTGTAACTTATTTTTAACTTTGTACAATTTTTTCTACCTTCTTTATTTGCAGTTCATCTTTCATCTCGCAGCAAATTTCTCATCTGCAAAACTTTAAGTGAGTACAATTTCTTAAATATTGTGCAAAGAATGTTGTTTGTAGTTATTTATGCTGCCGAAAAAATGTTCAATGGTTAAACCGAAACATTTTTCTGCTTTTATAACTCATTTCTTAACTTCTCATAAATGTATACAACTTTCTCGAAAAACTTTTAACGAAGAGCTTTTCATAGAGTATTCGTTATTTTGTTGAAATTTTGTGTACATATACATCCCGAATTTCTTACGTAAATTGTTGATTTTCGACAAAGTTTGCCGCATCCTTTTTTAAATTATGCCTCTTCTTTCTTCCAATATCGAATTTACAGTGCTCGCAGATTAAAAATACTAAAGGAAGTATATACGCACATACATACATACATACATATATCAACTTATAAATACAAATAGATACATATATACCTGAATTATATGCATGTATGCACATACATTTATGCAAGTTAATGTATATAAATTTTCCACTTTGTGCAGCTGTGGCTGGGCCTGTACCTATGTCTATGGCTATGTGTGTATGTCACCTTTGTTTGCTTGTCGTATGTACTACTTCCGCCTTTCATTGGCGTTATTTGTTTTTAATTAACTCAGCGACGTAAATATTGTATGCGCCGTTGCTATTAACTTGAAAGAAAGCAAAAACACCAACAACAACCACCATGCATCCATCATCAATTCTGTCAACGCTAATGAGTGTTTGTGGGTGTATGTATGTATGTATGTGCAGCTGCAAAGTCCGACTGGTGGCAGTAATTGCAAGTAATTATGTATTTGAAGACTTCGCACGTGGACAAAGTATGCATTTACCTATATACATATGTATGTGTGTATGCATTGTACAAATAAATTAATTCCATACTCACCACNATGTATTTGAAGACTTCGCACGTTTACCTACATATGTATGTATGTGTGTATGCATTGTACAAATAAATTAATTCCATACTCACCACTATTAAATTCCACATTTTCGCCGCCTCAGCAACGGTGGTACAGACGGTACTGCAGCCAGCTAGTAACATTAATTTTTGTGGTTTANCTATTAAATTCCACATTTTCGCCGCCTCAGCAACGGTGGTACAGACGGTACTGCAGCCAGCTAGTAACATTAATTTTTGTGGTTTATTGTAGAGTAGATTGTACATAACGCTCGCGCCCAAACCGGGCTCACACTGCAATTAAAAAGTAAAAGAAGAAATGGTATTCATTAATTCATCATTTACGCCATTACTAAGCTTTTGATGGAGTTCTTTCTCTATATACAATTATTGCAATTCGCATATCTATGTTTTCTTTTGCGACCGCTTATTCGTTTCAATTTTATTTTTCCAACAAAAAGTTTTTTGAATTACTATACTTCAATAAAAAAACTTTCCGCAAACAAGCAGCAAATCAACTTGGCATTCATTTTCACACATTAAGCTAAATTAGCTTTCGGCGTGTTTGCAAGCATTTCAAGTGCACAAATCGCTTGAATATTTTCCAGTATACATACATAGTATATAATAATAGTGAGAAGCGCTAATGTGGCCATTTAAAGTTGTTATTCTAAACTGCAAATTTGTTGCAACAAAAACAAAAAAAAAAAAATATGGGCGTGCATGAAATATGCAAAAAATGGGCGACAACAACAAAAACGAGTGGAAAATTGAAATAGTTGCTAATGCGCCAGTCTCGTCGATGTACATATAAAATTAGTGAACGCCACTCTAACTATGTACAACGATTACTGTTATTGCTGTTTCTTGTTTAGGTTTTTTACCGCCATTTTTCTGTTTTTGTTGCATATTTGCATGCAAGCGACAATTTTTCACACACTTAATGTGGCATGGCTTGCGTGTTTGCCACAAGCCGACAAAAAGGCGACAAAACGACAAGGCTGCGACGATGATGTGAGCTGGCATTTAGTTAAAGAGCTGAATTGTGGCTGAAGTTGAAGTTGAAATAAGTGAAATTAAATTGATTTGATTTTAGATGAGTTGAGTTGAGTTGAGTTGAGTTAAGTTGAGTTGAGTTGAGTACAGTGGAGTAGTTGTAAATAAGTGAACCGTGCAGCACGCGAACACCAATAAGTTTAGCGGCATATTTGAGGACAGATGGAGGGAATTAAGTTAACCGAAAAAGAAGGACACTTATGT